GAAGGAAGGAAGGAAGGAAGGAAGGAAGGAAGGAAGGAAGGAAGGAAGGAAGGAAGGAAGGAAGGAGGGAGGGAGGAGGAGGGAGGAGGAGGGGGAGGAGAAAACTATGGGGTCATTGTTGGTGCTCTTTCAACTTGGTTCTTTTCTTGTGATATTTCATTATCCAACTATGAAACACCATCAATACTGAAATGTAGTGGGATTTGTGGACAGGAGGAGGAGGAGGAGGGGGAGGAGGAGGGGGGAGGAGGAGGACAACAACAATGACTATTGGGTCCTTGGTGTCAGTTTTGGAAGTCATATTCCACGTGGCCACAAGTGGGAGGGGGGTGGATTCAATTGAGTAGCTCTAAGTAGACAAAATAAAATTCTGTTGTTAGTTCAAGGTCATTGGGTATAGTACAGGATGAAAAAAGGGTCTTACTTTTGGATGGATCGTGATTGGGAAATGTGATGATGGCCAAGGGAGGATCAATTACAGTTTGGGAATTGTAGGAAGTCCAAAAACTTTCAGATTCGGGATTCCACAGATGTGCCAGGTGCTATTCTAATAAAGGTATTTTTGAGCGATGTTTGTCTCAGAGTTACTGATTGTAATGGAGGTTTGCTGGGGCTCTTTGAGCTTGGTTGTTTTCTTATGCCATTTCATTACCCAACTAGGAAACACCATCAGTGCTGAAATGTAGTGGGATTTATGGACAGGAGGAAGAGGGGGAGAGGAATGAGGAGGAGGAGAAAATATGGCATAGCCAGGACCTGAAGCCAAGAATATTGCTTTCCTGCAAATGTTGAAATGGTATCTGCTCTTTCCAGAGCTACAGCGTTAGTCAGAAAATATGCATCCACAAACCTTACGAATAAATTAGAATAAATAAAACTACAATGTATCTGATCCTTGGTCTTACTGTACTGTCTTGTTCTAAGTGCCCAATGGCCTAAATTCTAATAAACTAAGACAGCAGCATAACTAAAGTGTTTACAGATGCCATCTGCAAAGATAGTAAGATAGTAATGGAAAATATTATCATCCAGCCATTACACTGTGTGCAAACGTAAATCATGGGTGAAAAAATGTTAAAAGAAGAAAATAAAAAATAGACGCCTTTAATACAATGCCAATGTCAAACAAACCACTCCACCCATCAGATCAATTGTGTAGGCAGGTCTCTTTTGAGTGTTAAACAGGAATCTGCATTGTATCTGGCTGTGTTTTAGAGATGCTGTGGGACACTCCAAATGGAATGAGTTGTTAAGGTTGATTTCTCACGCAGGCATCTTGTTCAATAATTGTATTTCATTCTATTAAGTTGGCTGTGATTTAGCATTTTTCAAATCATCTTGCGTTCCAGCCATTGTTAAGATGATGGCTATTAAAAGATAAGAGGCATTTTTTTTTTCCTTTTAACAATTTCTCATGCCTTTCTGTGAAAGCCTTGTTAATTAAAGTGCCACAATTAAAAAAAATACAGCTGCTTTATTTAAGGCTGCAAAAAACAAAACAAAACAGTAGAGAGTAGATTGAAAAGAAGAAGAAATCCTTAAGAAAGTGTATGCAGCTTATGTTTCATTTAAAAGAAAATGTTTTATTCCTTGGACAACACTAACCTTTTGTCCTGTCAATCCTTCAAACCCTGGAAGGCCTCTCTCCCCCTAAAGTGAAAAATGGAGACTGTTTAATAGCAAAATTCATCCTTGCATCTCACATGTTATGAATCTTGAGTTAGTGGGTCTTTGTGAGCAGTCTGCACATCTGCAATAATTGCTGAAAGCAGTTTCTGAAACAACTACATGGGACTGAAAAAAAATCACAGGGGTTTCAATGGAGGCTGCCATATTTCAGCTGTAAAATTCAGATGATGTAGTCATGTGAGGAAGACCTTGAGTAACAGATGGAAGAGATGTTGTCTAGGGAATGATAGGATAAGGGAGGATGTGGCCCACAGCTGCACAACAGGGGAAGAAAGATGCTCAAAAGGGATAGCAATAGCAATAATACTTAGACTTATATACACTCCATAATGCTTTTTCTCTGGATAGCTTACAACATCAGCATATTGCCCTCAACAATCTGGGTCTTCATTTTTGTTAAGGTCTTAGCATTTAAGAATCAACCAGCAGTGAAGCTGATGCAATATGAGGCAGATGTAATTGAATCAGCATTGGTATTGCCTTTCGAAGACTAAGAAAGGGTCTACAGATATATAAGGCAGCCATTAATGGGCATGTTCTCTCTCCTTGTGTCCAGTATCCATTGCAGAGTTCTCTGTGTAGAGTTAAGAAGAGGGTTGATTGCTTGTAAAGTATTTTTCCTACCATGTATATTTCTGTATATGTCTTGTACATAAACCACTGTTAAATGTCTAAGTCTCTGTGTGCTGCATTTTGCTCCTGGGTTGTCTCATAATGGTAGTCACACTGCAAACACTCTGACAATTTTATCAACCTCAGAAGGATGAAAGGCTGAGTCAACCTTGAACCCATCAGAATCGAACTCCTGACTAAGGGCAGAGTTAGTCTGCAATACTGCATTCTAACCACTGAGTCACCATGGCTGCTAACTTTTCAGGACACCAAGCAAACAGCAGGAAATTTGCATTTATAAGACTTACAGAATGGACCCACCTTTCCCAGGTATACCAGATAAGGGAACAGATTAGGTGGGCTATTTTATTGTGAGAAAACATTCATAGAGTCTTGCAGGTCTGAAAGTATAACTCTTCCACCATTTCCTTTACAGCCTGAGAAGTAAGGGAAGTTAGTCCCTTCTGAACTTCTTTATCCATCTGTTATGCAGCTGTAGGCTATAACTCTTATCTGTTGCATCTCTTTGATTCATTTCTCAAGATTTTTCCTCATATACCATTCCAGATGAACACTGCATGGAAGCAGTGTGTCTGTGCAGCATACCTTAGTGACATCAAACTGTCATCCAGATTTTAATGAGACCAGAAATTGTAGACCTACTTAAATCTTCCTTTATTCTCTTATCTTCCTTTCCTTTCTTGCAGGACAGAAGTGGACAATCTTTGGTGGCCATACATACGTTCTGAGGAGGAGTAGGGGTGGTTCCTTATGAAGCAAGGATGTTAAAAATGATTTCCTGTGGTTTAATTCATGATAGTTCTATGCCTGTTTTAGGGCTTACACTGGAGTTTTCATTAGCTTCCCATGTCAAAAGCACCACAAATCTATGCCTGCAGCTTTTAGAATCATGAGAAAAAGACTCCCCTCCCCAAAGTGAGTAAGGGGCCATGTGCAATTCCAGGCTTACAGGCAGGGGTGAGCTTCAAAATTTTTAGCAATGGGTTCTCTGCCCAGTTGCAGGGTGGGTGTGGCCATGGTGTGCATAGCCTGGTCGGCCTCCTGCACCATGGCAGGGAAGGGGGGCATTTTTGGCCTTCTGGAACTTCTGGGAGGCCCATTTTTTGCCCTCCCTGGGCTCCAGAGGCTTTTCTTGAGCCTCCAGGAAGGTGAAAACAGCCTCCCCAGGCTCCAGAGGCTCTCTGGAAGGCAGAAACAGGCCCATTTCTGGCCTTCTGGAGCCTTCAGGAGGTCCATTTCTTACACACACACACCCAAGCCTCCACGTGGGCCCTGTACTTACCTGGGATATAAAACAGGCCATGTGGGGACTCCTGGGAGGGGTGAGGTGGGGTTGGGATGGGCTAACCAGGGGTGGGATTTGCCAGTTTGCCAAACCGGCCATAAAATTAACTACCAGGTCGTGCAAACCAGGGCAAACCGGTATCAGCCCAACCCTGCCTACCGGTTGTCCATTCCTGTTATGATATGCTGAGCTTTCATTAACCACAACCCAAGGAATATCCCTTAGATCAGGGGTTCCCGAACCACCGGGCCCCAGACCGGTACCGGTCCATGGATCATTTTGTACCGGTCCGCAAAGAATGAATAATTGTGATTAAAATATACATAAAAATATGTTTTTGCTTCCAGGTGTCTTATTTTGAAAGACAACCACTTCCGCGCTTGACTTTTTGGCACGTATTTATCCTGCATCAGCAATGTAAGCTAGCCCTCACAAAATGAGCCAGAAACAGAGTTCACTGGAGAGTTTTTTTGGAAAGGGTAGACGAGACAACGATGAAGCCATGAAACCATCAAAACTGCGCCACCACATGGGGACAAAACACCCAGCATTGATTAAGGTTTTTGTTATTGGAACCTTCACACCCCTACCCGGTCCTTGAAAAAGTGTTTCTGCATGAAACTGGTCCCTGGTACAAAAAAGGTTGGGGACCATTGCCTTAGATCCAATTCTCTTGAGTCTAGTGGCTCTTATTTATAACAGGGTGAATTCAAATACAAACCTTTTCTCCTGGAGGACAGGAACAGTTGACTGTCTTGGTAGGTCCAATGTACTCATTTCCATCCGTTGGTGGAATTACAGGAGGGGGAACATCTGTAACCAGGGTCACTTGACACTCCGTCAGTAAAAAAAAAAAACCACACACACACAAACAATAGCAACACCGCATAAATAGCATTTAAATAGGATTTTTTAAAAAGACAAGATGGGTATGGGCATGTTTTTCATGAAAAAGAAATAGTTCCCTTTTATCAGCAATTTATATCGGGATAATATTTGGCACCACAGATAGTCCTTGATGTACGACCACAATTGTGCCCAACATATCTGTTGTTAAGTGAGGCAGTTGATAAGTGAGTTTTACCCCATTTTACGACCTTCCTTGCCGCAACCGTTAAGCGAAAAACTGCAGTTGTGGATGCCGTAACACAGCATTGACTTTGCTTATCAGAAGGTTGCAAAAGGGGATCACATGACCCCAGGACACTGCAACCATCATAAATAAGAGTCAGTTGCCAAGAGTCCTAATTTTGATCACGTGACTGTGGGGAATGCTACAATAGTTGTAAATGTGAAAAACGGTCGTAAGTCAATGCTGTTGTAACTTTGTACGGTCACTAAACAAATAGTTGTAAGTCAAGGAGTACATGTACTCCTATTGATTCCAATATTGCACAATATTGATGCTGAATGACCTCAGAATGATGCAAAGCTATCTTCAAAGCTTCTTTAGTGGTAGGGTTTTCATGACTAGGATAGGTAAAGATAAAGGTTCGCCTTGCTTAGTTGGCTCCAAGACACTTTCAAGGTAGTAGTTTTATTGTAAGGTAAAGGCAAAGGTTCCCCTCACACATACATGCTAGTCGTTTCTGGCTCTAGGGGGCGATGCTCATCTCCATTACAAAGCCAAAGAACCAGCGTTGTCCAAGGACGTCTCCGTGGTCAAGTGACTGGCATGACTAAACGCCGAAGGTGCATGGAACGCTGTTACCTTTCCACCAAAGTGAAATCTATTTTTCTACTTGCATTTTTACATGCTTTCAAACTGCTAGGTTGGCAGAAGCTGGGACAAGTAACAGGAGCTCACTCCATTATGTGGCACTAGGGATTCGAACCGACAAACTGCTGATCTTTCTAATCGACAAGCTCAGTGTCTTGGCCAGTGAGCCACTGTGTCCCTCATGACTAGGATAGCTGTGCATTAAACAGAATGTGTCAATCATGCAAACACCACTACTGATTCAGTCACAGGATTAGAAATGCTATATTTTGAACCAAATCAGCTCTAGATTGCCAGAAATGATGTTCTACTGCTGTACTGATTCTTGCATAGAGACTATGTCATTTCCCTGTCAGAGTCTGAATCTGAGGAGGAAGACGAACACCTGACAGGGAGTGAGAGTGTGGCTCCATTGGCTGTGGAGAAAACTGGGGAGGGCAAAGTCTGGCTGGATAGAGCAGGGGAGAGATAGAACAAGGGAGCGGGAGTTCAGTGGAGGACCCAGGCCCACCCCCTCTTCATCCTAGGGCACGCAGAGGGGAACGGAGAAGAGAGCAACTTGGGTTGCACGGCTTACGGGGAAGGAAAGGGCCCTGATTCTCTTCATTAGCGACACCTAGGAATGAGAGTTTAAAAGAGATGCATGCTGAGTGCAGCGTCTTCTGGGAACAAACCTGAGTTTATCTTGTGTTGACTTTGGTTATCTGCGTTCCTGGCAATCTCCCAACCAGGTTGAATTACTGCCATTCTTTCACGTCTGGAATTCCTTCTCCTGCCCTGCCGGATTAATTACCTCATTTTGCCTTGATTGCACTTATAGTTACAGTTTTTGTTGACCACATTTTGGACTTGATTCTCTGCAACCAACGGCTGTTGCTGCGAGAGTTTTTTCTCTAGCCCAGAAAGTAACCAGGACACTGGGGGCAAAGTTGGAGCTAATAAAGGGACTCCTACTGATTATCTGACTGTGTTGCCTTTGTGCCATGCCCCAGGTCATCACAGACTACGTCTTAGGGTGATCCTGCAAAAATTGCTCTTCTCTAAAGTTTGGTGGTTGAACTTTTCACCATACCAATGCCACAGAAAAGGGAGGAATAAGGAACAAGGAGAAGAAAAGGGGAAGAAGTAATAAAAAAATCTGTTTTGTTTATTTTAACAGTATAAATGAAGCTCCAAGAAGATTCTGGAGGCAACAGAGAGACCATCGAAGATGATTATATCTCAGTCTCATTGGGATATTCTGAATTTGTACCATGACCGCATGAATATTTTGAATGAAGATTTTGAAGATTTTGCAAACATTTCATCACCAGGCTGAGTAATAAAATCAGAGCACAAGGAAAGAACATTTGCCAACTTTACTCTCCCATGCACTGATGATTCATTGCTTAGCTTGTAATGAAATGCCTGAAACGAGACAAGCAAGTTCAAAGAATGCTAAGAACCCACAAATATCAACATTGAACTATATATAATCTTCATTATTAAAATTAACACAGGGTAGGCCTCAACTTACAACCTTTTGTTTCACAACAGCTCAAAGTTATGACAGCCCCAGAAAAAGTGACCCATGACATGTATTTGCGTTAACAATTGTTGCTGCACCCACATAGTCATGTGATGAGTATTTGGATGTTTGGCAACCATCTCACATTTACAACTGGTTGCAATGTCCTGTAGTCATGATTTGTGACTTCTTTTAAAACAAAATTTTATTAAATAAATTATTAAAAACATTGGACATAGTGTGATCATCCCAACAATCCTGTTTGTCATACATATTATGGCATAGAATACATATTTTATATACAAATCTACATTTATACATCTGTACATTTATGCAATAGTTTCCAATTCAAGTCATCCGTTCTGCCAACCCTATTCTCTTTTAATTCTAGCTCTTTCCTTTTCCCCCACCATTGATAAAATTTGTCTCATACTTTATAGTATTCTATCTCTTCTTTATCTTTCATCTCTAAAGTCAGTTTATCCATCTCAGCGCACGTCCATATATATCTTTATTAGGTCATTTTCATCAGTAATTTCTTTATCTTTCCATTTTTAAGCAAAAGTTAGTCTTGCTGCCATAATCACACATATCATTAAATAGATCTCTTCTTTATTGTATTTTTCTGTTATAATTCCAACAAGAAGAAAAATCTGGTTTTTATTCCACTTTACCTTTACCCTACCTTCTCCTCAAGCCACCTCTGAATTCTCTGCCAAAATTCCTGGGTTTTTCTACATCTCCACTATATGTGATAATATGAACCATATTCTTTAGTACATTTCCAGCAGTTAGGTGATATATTTTGAAACATTTTAGACAATTTTGCTGGAGGAAGATGCCACCTATAAAACATTTTATATAGGTTTTCCTTATACGATGTGGCCAATGTTATCTTTTTTTTTTTGTTTCTCTCCCATAAAGTTTGCCAATTGATGATTTGTGACTTTTTAAAATTGCAATAAAATCCATGCAGGGTGGCTGGATTCACTTAAGAACTGCTGTAAAAATGGTTATAAAATTGAATCTGATTTGACTTATAGCCACAGTGAGTTACAATGGAAATTCCAAAACAAGCCATACTTGTAAGTTGAAGACTACCTATATTTTGGTGTGGTGTTTGGAATGGTGGTTAGTGTGTTCATGTATCTCAATCAAATATAGCCTTTCAGCTGGAAGGTATAACAAGGAGCCATTGTTACATGCTATGTCCAAAAGCACATTTGCAAAGCAGGACTACATTTTAAACTTACAGGTCCAGAACGAATATCACAGCAGGTTTCAAGCTCGGCATGTCGTGAATCACAATAAATAACCATCCGCTGAAGGTCAAACTAAAAGAAAAAAGAAATTGTGTCAGTTCATTTGTGAACTGATTTTGCAGCAAAATAATGCGCCCACAAGACTATCTGCTGGCATAATGCCAGTCCTCATAGTGTCATTTGCCCTTATAATAACAATGGAAGAATGTGTAAACATTTACAGGCCCAGAAAGTTTGGAACAAGAAATGTAAAAAGGCAAAAAAAAAAAAGTGATGTGAGATACTTTAGAAACTGGTTAATCAGACTGAGGACATGAAATTGTGAACATTTCTGTCTAAGAAATCTAGAAGTCTAAGCCTCAAAGTCCTTCCCTGAATAATTCTAGTTTCTAAAATCCACCTCAGGATAGGAAAACCAACAATAGATTAAACATTTCACCATTCTTTCCATCTCTGGTGTGTTGCTTTTATTTATTTTGATGATTTTAGAATGGGTGTCAGAATTCAGAAATTTCTAGCAAGATTTAAAAGCTCTGTTCCATTTCATGAGCAATAGGGCTGCTTATCAAATTTCAAAGTCTAGAAATCACATATGCTAAAGATGGTAGAAAGAAGATTTGTCTTCAGAGAACTGCCAATAATTTTGGTTTCAGTTCGGTTTATAATAATATTTTAAACGGTGTTGTTTTAATATCTAATATTTTTATTACTTTTATTTGTATTTTTTTAACGTGTCAGTCATCCAGAATAACTTTGTAGGGGAAATAGATGGCATAAACATTGAATACAATAAATGCACAAAATAAAAATAGAAAGGAAACTATTTTCATGTTCCTGTCTGTGGTGACTGCTAAATAGTACATAGAATAACAGAGTTGGAAGGGACCTTAGAGGTCTTCTCTTCCAACCCCTGCTCAAGCAGGAGACCTGTATTATTTCAGGCAAATGATTGCTCAATCTCTTCTTAAAAACCTCCAGTGAATGAGCACCCATAACTTTTGGAGGCAAGTCATTCCACTTATTAATGATTCTCACTGTCCAGATGAATTTCCTTAGTTCTAAGTTGTTTCTCCCCTTAATAAGTTTCTATCCATTGTTTCTTATCTTGCCTTTTGGTGCTTTGGAAAATAGATTGACCCCCTCCCCTCCTCTTTTAGAAGCCCCTCAAATATTGGAACACTGCTATCATGTCTCCCTTAATCATGAAATATTAAATCTGTTATTATTCTATTGTCAGGGTTCCAAGTAATATGCCCATAGCAAACAGAACTCTGAGGGAAGCAGTTTCCTCGAAGAACAGGTTTATTGGGTATATCATATTGGCACAGGTTAGTGAAACCTGACTCTAAAGGTCCCGTGGTTTTCACCTAATTAAAAATAAAAGTTTTTCCCCCTTTCCCAAACAATAAGATGAAGTCCCATCAAAGTTCTGTCTGGTTGTTTGGAAACTGCACTCTTCATCTTTTCAGCCACCTGTGGGAATGTCCTTGGTTCTCAGGGGAAACTATTTTGTTTTAGCTACAAAACCCCAGCTATCTCTATTCCCTCCCTCACTATCCCGTATCACCATTGTGGCAAAGCTGAAGCCTCCAAGATGGCCTCAGTCAGGCCAGTTTCAGAGTTGACATCTATACTTAACTGAAGATATTTTAGTGCCACACAGTTCTTGAAAATTTGTAATGGAATGACATGTTAAGGTCTTGGGATTTAAAAGCCAACCAGCAGTGAAGCTGACCAGATGTGGCTGATGCAATAGGAATGAATCAGCATAGCATGGGTATTTCCCTTTAAGGCTGGGGATGGATTCTATCCCTTTAAGAGCTATTTATATAAAGGCAGCCATTAGAGGGCATGTCCTCTCTCCTTGTGTGTTGTATCCATGTAGAATTAAGAAGATTACTTATTATATATATTGAAATGATTGAAATAAATTGTAAGGAGGTTTAAAAATAAGATTAATATCAGTGACCAAACAAAATGGATTAATTGTTTCTTTCTTTCTTTCTTTTTTTTATAGCATAAATAAAATTTTATGGAAATAAAGGGAGAAAATACATTGCGGAATCTGACTGAAAAGTACAGTGTAAAGTAGTGTGTTTTTCTAGGGACTGATTATTACTATAACTAAGTAAAATAGATGTTTAATTGGGAATTACAGATGAGGGAATTAAGGCATACTTAAACCACTTGAGGTGACACCCCAAACTAGTAAAATGGGAAGGGAAATTTATGTTTTGTTTTATGTGAAAAACTTGTATTAATCTAGACCTTAGGAAAAAAAAAAATATGCGATGGAATTGCAAATTTGACAAGATAAAAAAGAATTAAAAGGGAATAAGCATGAAGATACGGAAACTATTTGTGATTTGAATGAGAAAAGAGTGCTTTGGAACAGGCATCGCTTAAAAGAAACGTTAAAGGCTTAAGAAATACATTTGAAATAAATTGAAATGAATTGAGAAGATGTTTAGAATGAGAGTAAAATTAATGAATAGCATTAACTTGCCTATTCCTTTTCTTATATAAAAGTTGAGAGGTAAAATGAGAAAAGAGTACTTTGGAAAAGACCATATTTAAGAGAAATGTTAATGTTTTAAAAATATATCTTAAAGAAATTGAAATGAATTGAAAAGATGCTTAGAATGAAAGTAATATCACTTAACAGAATTAATGTGTTTGTTTCTTTTCTTATGTAAAAGTTGAAATGGAGAAGTAATAATAGAATTAAGTTAAAAATGGACAAGACAGAATGTTGAATGTAAAAATGAATATATAATTACTGTCATATTTGCATGTAAAAGTGGTGACTCGGAATTATGTTGTACGCTGAAAAGAGCTTTTTTTATGTTGTTTTGGAAATATTGAATAAAACTTGTTTAAAAAAGGAAATATGAAGAAGGATGATGTTTTTATGTTTTATGCGGTATGTCTATGTTGTTTTGTTGTTAAAATAAAAAACTTTTTTAAAAAAGAAATATGATTGGTGGCAGAACTGATCCCACTTTTTGGGGGGGATGAGCTTTTTCCTTGGTACTTACATCAATTGGCACACTGTCATAAAGGCGTTTGCCGATCACCGTTTTCCCTTGAATGTCAATATTTTCTCTGTCTTCAATCGGTAATGTCTGGACCAGTTTGCAATCGATGTACAAGGAGACCGTCTGGGACTGGATGCTGAGTGCAATCTTATGCCAGTTACGATCAAACAGGTCATTGACACGTCCGTTTCTGAAAACGACTCTCACAGCATCTCTGGTGAGTCCAATTGCGTTGTACTCCAGTGCTTTGTTCTCCCCATCCAACCGGATAGAAACCTTTGAAAACAGACATAACACTGTAAGGACATGATTCTTTATGGAACAAATATCCAACAAAGGAGCTATCAATCATGAGAAGAGGGTAAGAACAAAGTTCATCGAACATGGAATCTATTTCTATGTGTCCCAGATGTTTTGGACCACAAAAACTCAACTGGCATAACCAATTGTGAGGAATTATGGAAGACCCTAGGTTTAGTACAGCAGTAAATCAAATTTAACAGTCTTGGAGGACCAGACAGTTGATGGCTTTAGAAAGTTCTGGGGGTATCCCTGATTCTGCAAATTCTTTATTCTTGGTTCATTACTATATACGATCAACATGCTAGACACAAAAGTCAAGAAGAAGCAGGATGGTGAACTGTCAGTTCTAATAAAGAAATGTTCAGATGAGATAGAGGTTTTCTATGAAGTATAAAGATATTGAAGAGTGATAATCTCTAGAAATATCAATAGCCCACAAACCCACACCCATACTTCACTGGTAATTATCCCAAACCAAAGACAAGATACAGAAGGATGAAAGAAAAAATGTAATTTACAAAACAAACTGTAACCATTGCAAACAATTCTACATGAGACACAAATCACGTCAGTTGAAAACTAGAATCCATGAACACCAGTTGGCAGTCAAACACCACAGTCGCAAATCCCTAATTTCTACCCACACTGACACTAAGCAGCATCAATTTGATTGGAGCAAACTAAGAATCACTGGCCACGCTAACCACCTGTCACACTCATAAGTTTTTCAAATGAATTCCTTCCAGCAAGCCAGGATTGTCTTCAATTGAGGTTGGCTGTGTTGCTAAAGTTCTGGATATATATTTTTTAAATCACAATCTAGAAAACACTGATAGAACATTTCAATTATCTGTTCATTTCCCCAGTGGTCTTGATTAATATAAATCTCAACTTATAAAGGATAATCTTTGCAGTTCAGGGAAGAAATGAGGGGTCCTTGATGCTCTCTGAGCTTCATTCTTTTCTTACAGACATTTTATTACCCAAACTAGCACTGATAATTGGATAATGAAATATCTGTAAGAAAACATCCAATCTCAGAGAGTGCTAAGAACCGCTCAAATCTTAACCTGGATCTGTAGCATTTGATTTCTGAATTGAGCTCCACGTGGAGGCTCCGGGGGTGGGGGTGGGGATGGGGAGGAAATGGGCCTTCTAGAAGTCTGGAAATGGGCCTGTTCCTGGCTTCCGAATGGGCCTCCAGAGCCCAGGGGAGGTCATTTTTGCCCTCCCAGAGTCCTGAAGGAAGTCTCCAAATCCTTGAGAAGACAAAAAACAGCCCTACCGGAAGTACTGGAAGTATGGAAACAGACCTGTTTCCAGGGAAGGCTATTTTTGCCCTCCCAGAGGCCCGAGGAAAGCCTCTGGGCCCTTGGGAAGGTAAAAAAAAAAACAGCCCTCCTAGAAGTTCTTGTAGGCCATGCCCACCATGGCCATGCCCACCCATCAACTGGCAGTGAACCGGTTAATGGGATTTTTGAATGCCACCCCTGTCGTATACTATAACAACACAAAAACACACAATAGATACAAACTCAGGGTTAACCGCATAACTTGACTGCAGGAAATACGACTTCAGCAACAGAGTGGTCAATATCTGGAATACTCTACCGGACTCTGTGGTTTCTTCCCCAAACCCCAAAAACGTTAACCTTAGACTGTCTACTATTGACCTCACCCCTTTCCTGAGAGGTTTGTAGGGGGCATGCATAAGCGCACCAAGGTGCCTACCGTCCCTGTCCTATTGTTTCTTTTATTTTTCTTATATGTACCCATTTCATGTATCCATAACTATGTATATACTTATACCTATTATCTTGTAAGCGATTGACTAATCAAAATAAATAAATAAATAATACCAGTTCTTTCCATCATTATTGTTATTACACCTTCCTCCCATCCTGGTGACACGTATGAATAATGTCTAAATCATTTATACTGATATTTATGAGAAGAGGAGAGGTCTTCCCAAAGATAGGCAAATTGCAATTTTGCATCTAATTCAAAATTTTTGCAACCTTAGCACCTGTAGTAAGCTGACATCTAAATTTCCTCCATGTCAGCTTTGGAAGCCATATTCCATGCTGCCACATAGCCTGAGAAAGTGGGAGGGGGGTGATTTCAATTGAGTAGCTCAAAGTAGACAAAATAAAATTCTTTTGTTAGTTCAAGGTCACTGAGTATGGCGCAGGATGAAATAAGGATCTTACTTTTGGATGGATTGTGTTGGCCCATGTGATGTGACAAGGAGGGATGGATTTATAGTTTGGAAAATTGTGGGAAGCCTGAAAACTTTTAGATTCGGGATTCCACAGATGTGCCAGGTGCTATTCTAATAAAGGTACTTTTGAGATATGGTTGTCTCGGAGTTATTGATTGGAATGGAGGTTTGCTGGAATGCTGACACTCCAGTTTTTGTGGCAGTTATCTTATCTATCTATCTATCTATCTATCTATCTATCTATCTATCTATCTATCTATCTATTTAAATGAAATCCATAGCGTCAGTTCTAAAACAGGCAAGCCTTAATTGAAACTACAGTAACAATGAACTTCACCTACATGTATTATGTGATTTGCAGATTTTAGTTATCCACCCACCCTTCAGACGTTCCCAAAGTTGCTTTTTCCCAAGGCAACTGGACTTTCTTTCTTTCTTTCTTTCTTTCTTTCTTTCTTTCTTTCTTTCTTTCTTTCTTTCTTTCTTTCTTTCTTTCTTTCTTTCTTTCTTTCTAACATTTCATTCATCCAAGAAGCTTCTTCAAGAGGCTCCAGGCATTCAGTGCAACCCCTGGGCCATAAAAATATTCCCCTCACACCTTAGCACGTAAAAAATCTAAAACAACCTAAATTAAGCTAGACTACTGATGATTTTTTGGGCATCTCCTGGTTTTTGTGAAAAACATGATTTGGTTTGGTGTTTCCTTACTGCAGAATGTTTTTCAGTTTTCATTCCAGCCTGAAGATTTCTTAGTTTTGCAGCCTGTGAGGAAATGGATTGTTCCCTGTGTTTTCGAAAAGCCATAGCAATTGCAATAGCACTTTGACTTATATATCGCTTCATAGTGCTTTACAGCATTCTTTTTTTAAATAAAAGTTTTTTTTTATTTTTGTTTTTTACACATCTCTTCACGTGAGCAACGTGATTCCAGATTACAACATTTGTACATAATTATACTTACATTTTCAACTTTCTTATTTAATGTCACATCAAATTATTATCCACTCCACTAATCTTCAAATAAATTTCCATTTCATATTTTAATTCATTAATTCAATATCAAAATCATTTCCTCACATATATTTTCAATTCTTTATCCCCTATTCTTTCCATTTTCAGCTTACTGCTTTACAGCAATCTTTAAGTGATTTATAATGTCAGTATATTATGACACTATATCCTCATTTTACCAATCTTGGAAGGATGGAAGGCTGGGTCAACCTTGAGTCAATGAACTGAATTGAACTGCTGTAGCCTGCAGTACTGAATCCTAACCACTGTGCACCACCACAGCTCTGCAATCACCTGCAGCCAGGTAGAAATGCGTCTCTGCACTTCCTTCCTGCACTCAGACAAGCACTCATACATTTACTCACAAGCATCCAAGTCCTTGTTGCAGATAACTGTGCTACCTGAGCCACACCCTGGTGTTCTCAAGGACATGCTGATGTCCAGAGGCAACTTCATCCCACCCAGTCTTTCGAGCTTACAAACAGCCAATGCTGAGACAGAATGAGGAAAGGGTGTGTAGCACGAAACACGAATGTAAATCACCTACAGACACAGAAGCGGAGGTGATGGGTGCAGGTTGGCAGCTATTACAATTTTTGCGTGAGGTCTTTCATTCAACTGCCATGTCTGCAAGCTATGGTGATGGTAGAATGTCCTGGTAGAACCTTTGCTGGAAGCTCAGTAGCAATTACAAAAAGGAACAAGCATGCTAAAGCCATACCTCATCCCAATTAGCACAAGAACATTTGGAGAAAGGGTGTGTGCTACTTTAAAGACTTTGAGATTTTTGTTTAAACTGGGTTGGATATTAAAGGTATTTTTTCACTGGCAATGTCCTAGAAGGCTGGGGGTGATCCACAGCAATAACTTGTAGTTAGGGAAGGTGTGTGTTGTAATTAAAGTATGGTGTTGGTGTTAAGAACTGTTATGCTGCATTGAGTAGAGTCCTTGGAGAGCAAAAAGGCCCAACCCAACCATTCTATTTTGAACCATTCTGTTATGAATCATATTCATGTCCTGGTGATTTAACAGAAGAACAGAGTTGGAAGGGACCTTTGAGATCTTCTAGTCCAACCCCCTGCTTAAGCAGGGGACCATGTATCATTCTGAACAAATCTCTGCACCTCCAGTGATGATCACCCATAACTTCTGGAGGCAAAAGCCATTCTGCTGGTTAATTGTTCTGACTGACAGGAATGTTCTCTTTCATTCTAGATTGGATCCCTCTTTAATAAACTTCCTTTCATTACTTCTCCTCCTGCCCTTCAGGTGCAAATTCTTCTTTTCTGTGACAACCCCTGTGACTGCTATCCTGTCATCTCTGGCCCTTCTTTTTGTTAGACGAGACTTACATACAGTTCCTGTGATTGTTCATTTTAGCCTTCAATCCCCTAATCGCTTTTTGATCTGTGCTTCTTTGCAGTCTTTTTAGAGTCTCAACATCTTTGCGATCAAACCTGGATACAGTATTCCAAGTGCAGTATAAAGCTTCATGGAACTATCCATGTGCTTTTCATGGTATATGGACTCTCACCAGGGGTGGGATTCTACCAGTTCTGTCCAGCTCTGTAGAACTGGTAGCTCTGAAGAGCAGCAGGTATAGAACTGGTTCTATGTCTGCTGCTGTTTTGGCCCACCTGCCCACCTGGGCTCTTACCTGACCTTTATTTCCTGCTTTTTCAACCTCAGCTGCTTTGCGTGGCACAGCTGCAGTTGAAAAAGCAGGAAAATAGTGCTTTTTCAAACCCTGCACACCCCTGCGCACTGCTGCTCAGCTGTTTAGGCAGCATAGCTGACAATCTTCCACACGTGCGCTCAGCACACAGCAAATCGCAAATTGCAAAAATCACCGATTTCACACCGGTCAGATCCCGCCCCTGACTCTCACTGAAGTATGAACGAAGGATGGAAATTAACCCAGAAGAGAAACAATCTAGAACTAAGGAGAAAATTCCTAATGATGAGAGCAATCAACCAGTGAAATGGCTTGCCTCCATCATTAGAGGCTTTCAAAAAGAGACCAGATAAACATTTGTCTGAAATGGTATAGGGTCTCCTGCTCCAGCAAGGGGTTGGACTACTAGAAAACTTCCGACATCCCTTCCAAGTCTATTATTCTATGTTCTAAATCAGGGGTGTCAAACTCATATCCTCACAGTGGCATCATGTGACATATTGGGATCTTTCCTCCCTTCGCTAAACTGGGTGTGGGCATAGCCAGCACATGACACATCGTACCTATGAACCAGGAGTTTGGCAGCCCTGCTCTAAATAACCACTCCTAATCTTCCTTAATTTTTGGAGAGTCATACCTTCCTATATATTGGCACCTAGCCCAGCTAGTACATACAACCCAGTTTTGTTAATCGAGGTGCTACAGTAAACAGAAGGCCAACAGTGCTGTGTAATAAGCTGGAAAGAAATAACTCAACTTCTTTCAGGCTGAAAAAGCAACCTTACCTGTGGTATGCCATATTTGTCGATGATCTGCCAAATGTACCAATCTTCTCGCCTGGATGACTTGCGGAATTTGAAAGTAGCAACAAAGGCATACTCATCCGGAAGTCCTTGTGGAAAGACATCTCTGGAGGAAGGATATGTGGAGAGAGAGGAAGTAATGAAAAGTATTTAGGTTATACACATGTGGGCAACCATTCTTCAATTCATAATGTAGGAGATAAACTCTTTGTTCCCTGCAGTATATAATGGTTATTAATCAAACTGGCCATGGATAAGGAGGAAGCACCAACTCTTGTAGAGAGAAAGAAGGAAGGTGATAAATATCTGCAATTGATGTTTTAATGAGCGTGTATGAAAAGTTTTGCTTCCCCCAAAATAAGAAAGTAAAAAAAAAAATAGCTCGGAAGTTAAACTGCTTCCAATTTGACAACCCCTTTGTCAGGCCAAAGAGAAACAGGGATGACTAGTGTATTAAATATTTGAAGAACTGGTCTCTTTTCCAAATGTCTTCCATTCATTTCTCTACTGTAAAAAAAAATATTATAGTAAACAAAGTTGTGATGGATTGACTATGTGCCAACAAGTTGATATCAAGGCTTAACATAATAAAATAGGTATCTTGTGAAAATTTAGAGAATTGCAATTCTGGATTGTATATTAAATCTTATTGGCGTATTATAAACCTGAATGATTTCAATTCACCAGTCCCACTGTCAGGGTTCCAAGTAATACGTCAGTAGCAAACTAAACTCTGAGGCAGGTAGATTCCTCAAATAATAATTTTATTGGAAATATCATATTGGCACAACCTAATGAAAACTGACTCCAAAAATTCCTGCGGTTTTCACCTAATTAAAAGTAAACATTTTCTCCCTTTCCCAATCAATCAATCACATGGTCCAGTCAAGGTGCCATCTGGTTGCCTGGTAACATCACTCCTCCTCTCTCTGGTCTCCTGTGGGAATGTCCTTGGTTCCCAGGAGAAAGTATTTTGTTTTGGCTACAAAACCCCAGCTATTTGTATTCCCACCTCCCTATCCCTCAGCTCCTGCGTGGCAAAACGGAAGCTTCAAAATGGCTTTGGCAAGGCCAGCTTCAGGGTTAACACCCACCCTGAATTTAAAAGGACCATATCAGGAAATGAAACAATTGGAGAAATGGTTCAAAGGAAGAAGGGGAACGTACTGTGTACGCTGAACAATGGGAAAACTTCCAAGACGAACATAAGAGCTCTGGATTCCATCGTCTTTCCTTCGGAACATCTCCCGTACACTGAATAATTCCATCAAGTCAAACCCTGCCAGAGCAACAGAACAAAAGAAAACATGAAAGACAATAACATTTAGCTGCTGATAGGAATTTATTATTTATTAATATCTATCAATAATAATTAAACATTCCATTCCATTCTGTTTCTATTCCATTCCATTCTGTTTCTATTCTATTCTATTCTATTCTATTCTATACTATTCTATTCTATTCTATTCTATTCTATTCTATCTAACAGTGCAGTGTGCATATGTCCTTAGAAAGTGAAGGGACATTCACTGTATGGCAAATGAGACAAACGTTTCAGTGCCAGAGTCAGGAATGATTAATCTAAGATAAGATGTGGGATGTAACATGTCGAACAAGACCCAACCATTTTGCATAACCTTGGCTACCACCCATAACATGCTTAATTGATTTGGGCCTAAGCACATTATGCAAACAAAGCACTTGGTTATCCAGATTTAAGATTTGGAGGGTGCATAAACTCAGGCACCACCTTTACAGAAACACACACATGAAAAAGCGCACAAAAGGTTTCAATTCAAAACCTTCTATTAGAGTTTTCACTCTCTTCAAAAATTGATATCATTTGGTATGGTAGAAGGTGCACTATGATCCTTTGCCAAGACTGTAATTTTGGAGATATTACAGGTTGCAAATAATTACTCGGTAGATACTTTCTTTGTTTCCTGGAATGTATTTTCCCTTTGAGCTTTTTTTTCCATTCAGAAGTAGTAATAAGACATATATTCTTGTTCAGTGCCCACAGGCTTCACCCAGTGGCAGAATTCAATTTTTTTTTACTATCGGTTCTGTGGACATGGCTTGGTGGGCATGGCAGGGGAAGGATATTGTAAAATCTCCAGTCAGAGGTTGCATTTGCCAGTTCTCCGAACTACACAAAATTTCTACTACTGGTTCTCCAGAACTGGTCAGAACCTGTTGAATACCACCTCTGGCTTCACCCCATGAAAGACCCTAAAAACAACTATAATGGGATCATTTTTTGGTATATTGCCACTGTTGCAAACGTTCGTGTGAACTGCATCCATAATTAACTGGTGCTTGAGAGAACCTTACTGGCTCAAACACACAAAAGTATGACTGAGCTACAGAAATTCTGCATTAATAGGAGAGATACTTAAGTCTTATTTCCCATTTAGGAACACATTTAGCTTTTTCTGAAATTTTTCATCTGACCTTCCTGGGAGAGGAAATCCTTATTGATTTTGGCTTCTGCTCATTTTAAAAGTTCATATTTCCGTATTGCACAAGAGAAGAATTTATTGCAAATATTAATAGGGCCAGGTTTTATCCTCTGCATTATATCAAATGCATGTTTTGTCACTGCTGGCCAAATAAGTCTACCATATTTCCTCCCCAAGTGTTATTTCTGAAGTACATAATGATGTATATACAGTAAGAGTTTTACTAGATGGGAAAATATAGTGTATGGAGATAGCACTGCTTTTTTCAACCTTGTAAAAATTCCTTCCCTACTAAAAGAGACACAGATACAAAACAAAATAAACACAGAGAGAGAGAGAGACCCAACTGTCCCTAAACTTTCCTTGGAGTGCTTCAATGCAGAAACAAAAATCCCCTTTTTGAGTCCCCTTATTATTCATTATGATTTTGAAGATGATGATGTTATCCATTCAGATGTGCCCAAATCTCTTGACATTCCCACAGGCCAAATCTTTCCACATCTTCCTATCTTGCACTACTTCTTTGAGTTGTTCTATGCTCTGGCTGGTATCAGCTTTAATAGTGTCCTGTCACCATGTTCTTTGATGACCTGGTTTCCTTTTAACACGATCTCTCACAAACAAACTTCTCCAAACAAAACAAAAGCTTTGTTTCAATGCTACCTGTTATGTCCTGAGGACTCAAGGAGTTCTCACTCAGGTCCACTCACT